AATATAGAACAGTAAGGGATAACTTACAAAATCCTCTCTCAAATGTTTGTATTTCTAACTAAGGATCAAGAATCTCATGCTTACGTACCAACGGACCCACCACTACTTCCTCCTCCTTAGTTACTCTCAACAAGGGATGTTGGTCCCTTTATCTTCTTTGTACTTCTGATTGGGAGTTGCATTCTCTCACTATTGTCATATCAACTCCAATACTCTATTCATTGTATCAACATTTGCATTCCCTTCTCCAACAATTGACTCAACTCTTCACTAACTCGTGTTATTTCTCACTCAACAACACCTTGCACTCTTAGTGATCTCAGCCATACTCTCACAACCCTTTATGTCATAGCCTCTTATGTATTTTACCTCTTTTTTTTCACTTATATACGTTCCCCAAGATTCTCATCCCTCTAATACTAAATTGATGATAACAATTACCTTCATATGGTTTCATTACAAAACAAAGACATGGAATGTCTCAACTGCCCACCAATATATCTCAACTGCTTGCTTCGACTCTTGTGGGCCACCCATTCAAGAAAGAAAAAGCTAGCCTATGGATCCACTTCATTCGGGCTCTTCTTTGGACTACATGGAATGAACGGAACCGTCTAATCTTCCAAGCTTTGGAGCGCTCTCCACATGCCACTTTTGAATCCATTGTTTTTTTTGGTCATTACTTGGTGTAAATGCTCCCCCTCTTCCACTCGTATAGCTTTGCCTCCTTATTGACAAATTGGAGAGCTTTTTTGTAACCTGCTTGTGGGTCCTCTTTCTTTTTTGTAATCATCTCTCGCTCCTTTTTTCATTATATCAATGAAATCTTTTCGTTTCAAAAAAAAAAAAGAAAGAAAAAGAAAAATATATAAAACAAAGACATGGGGAATTCAAGAGACTTCAAGCTCTCCCACTAGACCTCAAACTCTTCAACCTTCTCTGAGTTCTTTTATTTTTTTACAAGAAATGAACTTTTCATTGATATATAAAAAGAAACAAAATTTGTTTAAAGAAACAAACTCTCAAAGGAATAAAAAGAGAGAAAAAATAGAAAGCAAAAAGGAAGAACAAGTATCCAAGATCTAAAAATGAGAAATGAAAGCCTCCCAATTAGAACAAATCATGCTAGGAGAGTAATTCAAAAATAAATAGGAGAGAGCAGTTCAATGAAAAGCTTTAAACTTTGCCATGTTGAGACAATCCATCAAAGATCTACTTTTTTCTTTAAAACCCATCTGATTCCTTTCGGACCCAAATTCGTATAAAAGGGCTTTAGTACCATTAACCCAAAGAAGGCTTGATTTGGAAGAAAAAACTGGCCCAAACAGCAATTGAACGATAATCTTCGAAACTTCAACCTTCTCAAAGTTCTTCAAATTCTCAAACTTCAACCTTCTTTACCCTCTTTTTTATCACCTCTCTTCTTTGAAATTTACCTCAACAGCTTCTTTCCTCCTTGAGTTTCAACCCTAAACTCTATATTCTTCAAACTAACCATATCCCCCCAGAATGCATGAGTTATAAGTTATAACAACTCCATTACAAGGTCCCACTCTCTTGCCCCTAGTTATCCCCTTAACCCCCTTCATCTCATACACTACACTTGTGTACAGGTGGGCATATCAGAACAACTACAAATGGACATTCACCTATATACCTTTATCTACAAAGATGTGCTCCTTTCATGAAGTTCAAGGAAGAATGTATGCTTAAGTGCAATTAGCTTTTCTCATTCTATTTTTTCATATAGGCTCAACAAATAACAAGAGAGTGAATTTGAATTAAGTTACAGTACAAATTCAAAAAGAAAAGGAAAACAAACAAGACAGAGCAGAGGCTCAAGAAAAATGTAATAGTAACTCAAAGGAAAGCAAAACTCAAATTAAAATTTTATATTGAAATGAAATTAGAAAGCATACCTCAAGCCACAGGCAAAAACCAGTGGACAATAATCCTGTATAAAGAGCAGGTATCCAAGGAAACACGAACACCCAATCTAAATACGTTTCCCAATTCCATGACACACTTATTGCTTCAGTTCCATCAATCCATCTTCCAATAAAATACCAAACTGTCGATAGAATAGAAACAACACAAACCTGAAGAAAGGAATTAAAATCGTTCAAAATGTGCAGGAAAACTAATACAATGGCTAGTGTCTACATGAGAAAATATTAACCTCAAATGCAAGGAGTGGAAGGAATTTATCTTTTTCTGTACGTCTTGAAATATGCTCTGTTCTAAGCATATGCACACCAAAAAATATTGCACTCAAGAAGTTCAAAAGATCTCCCACCTGAATCAGGTCATAAAAATTAGTTGAATCACCATCAATACGAATATAAAAATCTCAAATTTAGAGCATTCAAAAATTATACCACTTAAAGTCTGTCAACTATTACAATTGTTGTTACTTGGTAACCAAATAATTTTGAAACTAAACATACACATGGAGGGGATCCACTGGATTCCAGCATTGCAACTCCAACGACAGACATGAGAGCTCCAAACCAGGTACGAGCAGGAACTACAGCCCCTAAAAGCCCATCAAGAAAAGGAACTACAAGTACCTGATTATTGATACATAAGTACCTTAATACACAATATTATAGCAAGAAAGGTTACACCACGAACCCCTACACATAACTCAGAATCTTACAGTGAGAATTGATATGAAAGATGCACGACCAGCATCAGATGTAAGAAGTCCAAATGCCTGCATCAGGTACCCAAGACTAACCCAGAAACCCAACTCTATTCCAGCATTACGGGTCTGAACATCATTCCATTTATACAGTACCAATGGAGCGAATGGAATGGCAGCGATGGCAAACCGCACAACATTGAAGGTTGCTGGATCCACTAATTCTTCAACCTCTTTCACGACTGGAATACTGCTAGCTACAGCAGCAAAGATTTGAAAAATAGAAGGGTACTTTAGTTGAAGATCTAAACGAGTTCCTTATTGTAGAAAAAAGAGGGAAACTGCAAGACTTTTGTATATAATGGGAAGGTTTCTAGTTGCAACGATCAAGTATAAAGCAAACAACATAAACCCAGTCCAAATATATGGGAGAGTTGGCTACCAGACAAGCATGGATCCCAAATTAAAATAATATAATAACAACTAACAAGAACAAAGTCTCCACATTCTTTTTTTTTTTCATTCATACCATTAATTCAGAACATTAGTAACAGACCCGATAGGAAAGTGAGCTCACCATAAACAATGGTGACGACGTTGAGCAAAATGATACTCCTAACTTTCTTCGAGGCAAAAAAGATCCTTCGCCAAAGAGAACGTTTATCAAATAGAGACATTAGGGAGAGAATCCCATTGTTACGCCGTCGAATCGGAGTCGAAGAGACCCGAGCGACCTCATTCCCCTGGCAATCTCCGAGCACGGCAGGTTTCGAACTCGGAGCATCGGAGATGGTGGATTTTGAGCGCGGCGAATTGGAATTCTGAGCACAAACAGCGCAACGACGAGGGGATGAATGATTTACACGAGATCGTTTAGAGTAATAGTAGATGAGATTGGAAGGGGATGAAATGGAAATGGGCGATTTGTGGTTGATCGGAGAAGCATGAAGAGTTGAGCTCCATGGAAGTGGCGCTCCCATGGCTCAATCCGATCGGAGGGGAATGTTGTTCCGATTGCTGTGTACCAAATCTCTCGGATTTCTGTGGGGAGAAAAATATCTACCATTTTCTGAGCTGCATCTGCGAGAGATCTGTCTGTTCCGGAACAACGAAAACCAATTGCTCAACGGCACGTTCCCAGAAATCATTTTCACATACTGCAGAAATTTTGGATATCCCCTTGGCAAATAAATAAATTTTGGATGTCAAAAGAAAAAATCTTTACCAATGAAGTTTTCTTCACAAAGATAAATGTGTCTTTTTAAAAGTTTATTATATTATTATTATTTTTCTTAACCAATGAAGTCCCTGTTTTTTTTACAAAGATAAATGTGTCTTTTAAAATTTTATTGTTTTCCCAATACCATGATGGAAAAGAAAGTCCAAGTTCAAACTTGGAACTTTTTTAAGCAAATATATGAAATTGTCTCTAGCTAATTTGCAGCATTGTCTGGTGGGCAAAATATTAGGGAAATTAGACTTCTCACTCCATGCAATAATCCATTGGATTTTTTACCTCTTTCTAAAAAGAAACCTAATTATCAATTATAGTAAGAAATCAATAATTGTACCCTGGTGCAATTATTGGTTCTCTTCTATAAATAGCACTTGCGCTCGACCAGTAATGGTATCAGAGCCAACACGACTCTTTCTCTCTTTTCTTTTCTCTCTCATGGAGTAAACTCCTCTCTGAATCTGGGGGTGGAAGGGATGATAGATCTAATATCGCTCTAAGGTTCTATTCTTTCCTTTTGATTTTTAACCTATCTACTAAATAAGTCTGATTTGGGTATCTCTCTTGTTCGATCTCTTGTTAAACTCTAGCTATCCATTCTCTAGAAATCATGATAAAGGCGTGGTTAACCTTCATGATTGAGAATTTATAGTTAGAAGATATAAAGATGATTGAATATAGATCGATTGATCAAAGAATTCGATTTAATTAAGAGATAGATTATTATCAAAATAAAAGATTACGAGCTTAGAAAGATTTTATTTCTATCTCCTAGATATCTCCAGATTCCCTTTTCTCCCCCCTTATGCTGTCTAAGCTCCTCTCGAAAATCTCCCCCCATTCTCAGCCTATTGTCGACACAGCTTCCTCTTCCTCCTCTTCTTCAAGCAAGCAAAAATCAGAGAATGATTTTTCAAAGATTTTAGCCGAGCATAATTCAGCCGAAGCCCATCTGGCTAAGGTTGAAGACCGCCTAAAAAATTGGTCTATCCCCAAGATAGATCCAAATCAGGTATACAAAATAAATACCTTCAATTTCTCCCAGCAGGATGTTATCATCATCACCGAGGAGAACGTGGCCATGAATGATGAATTCACAGAGATCACCCTTCTCCCTGAAGAAACCCTCTTCAGAGTCGGGAATAAATTCAAATACCTCCATATTGGATGCGTTCAAGTGGCTTTGAAGCCTCTCTTCAGAGAAGGCCTAGATGTTCCAATTTATCTCGCCCTTCGGGATAAGAGACATTCAACTTCACTCCCTCTCTACTGGGGATCGTCGAATCAAATCTGGTACAAGGACCAGTTTATTTCAACTGCAAACCAGGTCTTACTGTCTCCCTTCAAGACAAGAATATCATGGACGTTCTATGTCTAGATGTTCATTCTGAAGGATTGGAGCTCAAAGACAGGTCTCTCCCGTTTGCTGTTTCATATCGCATCTATTATAAATTGATGCATACCAACCTTTCTCCAAAAGCACTTGGTGTCTCTCCTAAAGGTTACACCATGCTAATGGAAGTCACTCTCGAAGAATCTTCGATGACCATCCCGAAGACGCTTCGATGGGATGAAATCTCTAGAAACACTATCTGGAGACTTTAAGGAGTATCAGCCCCCGCTAGAAGGACTAATACGGAGGCATCAATCACCGAATTTCCAGACGGAAATGTCGAAGTACAATTCAATTCTGAGGCAAGATATCTCAGAATTAGAGAAGTCATGAGCAGCCGTCCAAGCGTATCTTCAGACGCTAGGTCAGTAAGCACTATTAATAGATCTTCTAAAAGATCTGAATCCATGCGAGCGTCAGTAGATTTCACTCATCCGATCCCTGACGTTCAGTATGAAGAAGGATCTCTCTCTCCAACTCAATCCGACATGGAAAGGAGAACTGAATCCGCCTTCAATCAAATAAACGTAATCTCAAAACCTGAGAAGCGTTATGAAGAATTATACAGCAAATACATCGATATGTGGATTGCTGCACCAAAAGAAACAAGGAAACCTGTCATGACCCTTGGCGATTTCACCTCAAAGATACAAGAACGAGAGCTGGTTAGGAACGAAGCTCTAATCAAAAAGCTCCAAGCCGATGGACAAGTAGCAGTCATAAGAAATGACACTGTCTGGGTCACAGCAAGAGGCAAAGAAATAGCTTCCAGCTTCCCTCCGGAAGAAGAAGCTACCTTCTCTCACCCAGTAATACCTGCCATAAAAATGGTGTCTTCACCCTATAAGACGATAGATGAAGACAAAGTTCAGAAAGTTGGTGTTCGGGAGATTAAGAACATCCAACATCAACTCAACTACTCAAATAAGATCCTTTCAGAGGTATCTAAAGCTGTAGAAAGAATCGAGAATCCGGTTCTTCCTACCATCTCCAAAATACCAGGGATCTCACCCGTAGATCCCTGCCAGCCAATCTTTCAACCAAATAGTTTTAAGATTGGACCTCTCAAAGATGACCCCTCAAATCTTTTTGCTGAGATCAATAGAAGACTTTCTTCTTTGTCCCTTAATAAAGGAGACTCTTCTCAAAAGACCGAGGCGGCCAAGAGTATAAATGTAGTGGCTACTATACTACATTCCAGGCCTCATCCTCAACAATACTTCCGGTCACCATGCACACAGAAGTAAAAAATCATTATCCTAAACCATCTCCTCCGGATATGGGATGGGACGATCTCCGCCATGATCAACGATCTTATGACGGATCTTCTATAATCACTTGGAATATCGACGGGTATTCTGAAGCTCAAGTGATGAATACATTTCAAGAAATGATGATGGCAGCCACTGCCTTCAGCACCAAGAAGCCGATTTTACAGACAGCCCAAATCCTTATTTCGGGTCTCTCCGGAAACCTAAGGAGCTCGTGGCATAACCAGCTAACCGACAAAGATAGAACGAAAATCCTGACGGCAACTAAATCGGTTGTCAAGCAGGAAGGTTCTAATGCTATGCAGATTGATGAGCCAGATATGGTAAATCAATTAATCTCTGCAATGACCAAGAATTTTATTGGTAGCACTCAAGTCTACTCAGATATCAATGTCGAAGCTCTTTTAAGCCTTTGATGCCGAAAGATGAGTAACTACAAATGGTACAAAGACACCTTCCTGGCGCGTCTTTACACCATTACGACATGCGGAGCAGATATCTGGAAGCAAAAGTTCGTCGAAGGACTTCCATATTATATTGCTCAAAAATTCTACCAGACTACGGCAACAAACTCTGCAACTAATCGTATCGATTGGGCGGAGTTAACAATCGGAGACATCAATGCCACGATTCAACAGATATGCGTTAATTTCTGTCTAGAGAATAGGCATACAGCCAAAGTCATCAAAGATCCCGACTACTGAAAGGAATTGGGAACTTTTTGCAAACAATATGGTCTTGACAACAGACCTGAAGAAGAACGGAAGAAAAAGAAGAAATCTTCCAACAAACGACTCTTCAACAAGAGTAGATCAAAAGATTCCGAATTACCAAGGCGTAAAAGGAAATATTACAACAGGAACAAGGGAAAGAAGGATTATTCAAAGAATCGTCCTCACAAATCCTCTGTTGTTTGTTACAAGTGCAACCGCAAAGGACACTACTCCAGCAAGTGCCCTTTGAAAAATAAAATCAATTCTCTGACCATAGATGAAGAAACACGGCAATCTCTTCTCTATGCCATCAGAAGTGAAGAAGAAAACTCCTCGAGTTCCGAATCTTCCACTGACAATGATGAGATCAACCTCATAAACGAAGAAGATTCTGACGAAGAGACATTTTTTCTCTCAAAGTGATTCCTCTGAAGAAGATGGAATTATTTCCTGTACTGGCCATTGCGCTGGAAAATGCCACGGCCATATCAATGTCATCAGTAAAGATCAAGAGGCTCTCTTTGATCTAATTGATCGACTACCCGATGAAGACTCCAAAAGAGTGTGTCTTGTTAAACTTCAGGAAAGCCTTGAAGCAGAAGCTCTTTAAAGGAAACCAGAATACGACCTAATAGAATTCTCTTTTCACGATATTCTAAAAAGGGTCAAAGGAGAAGCTAAGAAGCCAATCCAAATTGAAGATCTCCACACTGAAGTGAAGAATCTCAAAAAAG